TGGGGATTAAAGTGGGTTGGGGAAAATCCATACCCATTAAAAAATGGGGAGGGTGGTACCCATGGGGAATGGGGAAAATTTATTATAGGGGAATGGGGATGGAGAATTAATATCCACCCCATTGCCCCCCATTGCCATTCCTACCCAAAATAGCAATGGAATAAAAAATTTGTCTCAATATCTTACCATATTGTGACCAAATATACTGGAAGAATTTTCTACTTCATTTGGTTCAATGTTCAGCTTCAGATTAGACCACAACAACATTTTAAGATCAAAAACCTGCACAAAAAATTATCAAAAAAAAAAAATGGACAAATTTTATCCTAAGATGTTTTATGTATCATCAAATCAAATATTGAAACAAAATTCTAACTTCAAGGATACAAAATTTGTATAATGGTGCAACCAAAAGATGTAAATTAGTCTGCACCCTTCTAAAGCACATGAAATAAACAAAATGGGTTAAAGCACTGATTCTTTAGGGTAGTTAACAGTCAATGGCTAAGAACTTGAAATGTCCAAGAATATCAATTTAAATTTAGATAGGGATTTAAAAAGGAAAAAGAAAAGATGAGGGAAATAAAAAATTATAATGATTCAAACACAACCTTACATACCTAAGCATAATTATTTTTGTTGATGGAATGGTACCAATACATGTTTTATAGAGGGGCCAATTTGAGAGAGAATAGACAAATGCATGCTCTTTACAACTATCAATTAGTAACCAAACAAATGTCACATTTCAATCCACAAATGTAAGTGCCAAAAAGCATGAAAAATCATTTCTATGAACATATAAAGAAACAAACCAAGCTAAAGGTAGTAAATAGCAATTAAGCACAATCATTGTTTCAACCTTCCATACTAAGTGACAACTTTTGAACATGAAAGATCCATTCATAGAAAAATACTTATCTCATCTCAGAGCAGAAAAACAAATAGAAGTCACACATTCATAGAAACTCATTTCATTGAAAAAGACTTATCTCATCTCATAATAACCTATTTCATATTCATATAAATGAAATCAAAACCATAAAGAAACACAAACAATTATGCCCAATTTCTTTGCACTCCTCTTTCAATTATCCATTATCCATAAAGAAATTGAAGAGAAAAAAATTCCATCAACACTGCATAAACAAACCTACTAAATGGTAGCTAAAATGACATATGACAAATTCAATTAACTACCAGTTTCATTATCTTTGATTTCATTTTATTCCTTATCATGGACAGGGTATTTTGACTATTGGAAGACTGTTGATACAAAGAATGGCTACTGGGAATTTTATTTTTGGGTGGACAGGGTATTTTTTGAAATTGTTAAGCTCATAGCAAGTTTTTTTTAGCCTACCCTTGCAGGCTATGCAAGGGAATATACCCTGACTGTGTTCATGGTCCACATAACCCAATTATGTGGCCCCTAAATAGGTTATGATGCATATGGTTTCATGGTTTGTGATATAACAGGTTGTGATATAATAGTAGGCTACAAACTTTGTTTGTGATACATTGATAACTTCTTGTGTAAGTGTAGTTTTTTGTGTAAGTTTTTGTTGTCAAACTTTGTTTGTTATACATTGATAGCTTGCTATATTTGTGTTTAAGACAAATGTTTATGACTTATTCACCCCCCCAAAAAAAAAAGATAGAAATATTTTCAAACCCTTAGAAACACAAACACAAAATATTGGTCTGATTGGCCAAAAACTGTCTGACCCAAATATTTGTTTGATTTATTGATTAATCCCCAAAACATTTGATTTCTTGATTAATCCGACAATCCAAAAACTAAGATGAGAGAAAACAACAACAAACTAATATGAACAAAGAAAGTAAGATGAACAAAAAATATGACAACAAACTAAGCGTTTAAACAGAAATAAAAAACTGTTTAGATCAAACACAATCCTTAGAAACAGAAACACAACCCTTTAGATCAATGATTTTGACAAATTTAAGTTGAGGGAAAAAATCAATTTAACACAACATAAGATTAGTCCCCAAAAACTGTTCAATTTCTGACCCAAAAATGTCCAATTTGTTGAAACAGCAAAGAAAATTTATAAATGAAACAACCACCGAGAGTGGGGAGTTTGAGGTGGGATTGGGAAGAGAAGGGGGACTGAGACCTTGAGGGAAAGAATACGGAGAGAGGTATTACCTGAAGGCGAATAGCTACTACCAACGACAACCACCAAAGCAACGAAGAGCTGGTGAAGTAACGAAGAACCACCGAAGCAGTGATGAATGGGTTTGAATACAACCACTGTAGCAAAGAGAGAGACAATTTTGATGAAATGGGTTTTGGGCGGTGAAGGGAGAGTGAAATGGGTTTGAAATGTTTTGAAAATCTGAAGACAGAAAATAAGAAGACAGATCTAAAAATCTATATCCAGCGGGGAAGGAGGAGTGAAATGGGTTTCAAGTTTCAAGCTATATCCAACAGTGAAGATAAGAAGACAGAAAATTTGAAATTAATCTCAACTTTTAAATATATTGACACTTAGGATAGATGTCCCATCAATAGAGCTGTTTTGTTATATAGATTTTACAAGTATATAATATACATATATAAAAGAAATGCTACTATGCACATCCCTTATCATAAGAATGTTACTCGAAAAACAAAGTACAATTTGTTAGGTCAAAATTAACCAAGTGTAAAAAGTTACATGTTTAGATAGGAAATCAAAATTGACAAAATAGTGAAAAAAAAACATTATTTGCTTTTTGCAAGAAACATTTATGTATATTTTGCAAGAAATTGAAAAGCAACTTACCATGTTGCTATGGATTGTACCCAAAATTTAACAATCTTACATTTTCTAACATTATCATGGTAAATTTATCACGCAAACAAACAAGGGAAGAAAAATTCAAAATTTTCCCTTTCTCACACTACCCACTACTTCAATTATAAAGTTTTGCACTAATCTTTCATGGTTGCTAGGAAAGCCACCACGCCTAGAGGGAAGATAATAATTCATGGATTCTCTTGGCATCAATATACCGAGAAAAAAGGTAGCGAAAATTCATTTTATTAAGCATAAGCTTCACGTTGATTACTTTTTACCTAAAATTTAAAATCATATACTTCAATTTTTTTTACCTTTTCAAAGTTGTTTCGTTGGTTAGAGTCACTTTCTCATTATCTTGTCAACTGCTCATGCTTAAAGAAGGATACAAGTAAAGTTCAAGCACTATTTGATTAGCATTTTTGGAAGTATCTCTATTGTATGTGAACTACGTTCGCTTTCAATACATATATATATACACCAATCAAATAAAAGATTTAATTCAGATGGCTATTTAATTTAACTAGAACAATAAGTACTACACATTACCAAAAACACTTGGAATAACTATTTGCCCTAACTTACAAATTGGGAGGTCCTAACCACAAGTTATAGCCTTCATGTGAGTATCATTAAATATATTTTGGGATAAATCTTCAGAGAACATGTTAAATCAATCACAAGTTTTCAACAACATCTAAATGCAATGAAAATACAATTCCAAAATACTTTTGTTTAAATTGCTAACAAACTAGGCATTTTAACAAACATTTTAAATGCAATCAAAATTAAATAACATAATTATCCCTATAATTTTAATGCCAAAATAAGATCAAATATTTTGCAAGAACAAGTCATGGAAGCAACAAAATGGTTACAAAATACGATATTAATTAATGTAAAAATGGATTATTTCATTACAAATGTCAACCGAGAAATATAAATAGCAAAATAGAATAAAATCCTTCAAAAGCCTTGGTTCATTCGTACAAATTTCGAATCAGTGTGAGCCAAGAGAGACTGGAATACAAATTCAGAGAGAGAAAACAGAGTAAAAAATGGAGAAGAAGAGAGTTTTAGAAGAGGGGGTTTTAGAAATAATCAGAGGGAGGCATACCTTGTTGATTGATCTTCAAAAAAAGAATTATTTGTTTTCTTACAAACCAAACAGAGGCTCACTGGGTTAGATTAGGGTTTTAAACAGAACAACCACTTCAGCCTACATTCAGTCGAGCCAGAAAAAGAGAGAGGAATAACTATAGTAGAGAGAGAAGAAAGCAAGATGAGCCGAAGAAGAGATGAAAGGAAGGGTTAGCAGAGAGAGAGATGGGGGCGACACACACTCACACACACAGAGACGAAAGTGAAAGTAGAGAGAGAATACACTATGAAGAAGATAGAATAGAGATCGGTCAACCGGTTGCTTTGGTGTTCAATTTTTCGAAATTAAAGAATTCAATGGTTAGGATCAATTTGTGTAATCCAATGGCCAATAATGAAGGTGCATATGGTGTGCAACTCTTAAAGGGTTGCACACTGCAATAGAACCCTTACAATAAAAATTAAATACAACATATAATTAATATACAAAAATTTCAAAGTGGGATAGAAAAATCTCAAATAAATATATGAGAAATAAAATCTACACGTATATAAAGAAATTTAAACCACTAACCTCATAATAAAATGTAAAAAAATTTTGGCCAACTAACTTTTAAAAATTTCACATTATGCTTAAATAAAATCCTTTTAACATCGCATAAAGGTTTGATTCAGAGTGAAGTTTCGAACATATTCCTAGACTTATTTTTATTTTAAAGAGTTTCAGTTACATGCATGCGTGGCTTAGTGACCTCTAATATAAACAAAAATAAAAGCGTATTTTAAATTAATAACACAAAATCAAACACATCAGAAAATAGTAATATTTATATACATCATACGGTGAATCTACCACTAACAAAGGATGTTTGACTTAAATTTATTGTGATTGATTTAGTAATTGGTCTATGTTGGTAAATAATTATTTTTTGTTATAAAAATTATTTTTAATTTTTAATTTTTAAGTTTCTAAATTTTTATACAACCACTAATATCTGTGGACCGGTAGTTTTTTCTCGTGACAAAGGGTGGACCGGCAGTTGAGCTGGGAAAGGTTGCGTTGTTCACACGCCTATTTTAAGGGGCTTCAAAATTTCAACACTGCACCAATCACAACGCCACAATCAACCACTGAATTAGAACAATTGAAATCAAACTCCAATCACTGGCGAGGAACACAGAAGACAACCTAATCCTCACCGTACGCAATAAAACCCTTACTGTATATTTCGTACACCTCTCACTTCCATTTCGTTGTTGGTTCATTCCTCCGGTTACTCTTCGTTTCTTTCCGCATCGATTCTCAGGTGAGAAAAGTGTTTCTCTCTCTATATATCACTTTGTGAATAGTATAGATATATACGCATATATGTTCGTTCTTCGATTGATCGTCATGTTCTACATTATCGAGATTTACAGTAGTCTTCACTGATTGTTTGGCTGCCGAGAAAGCTGAGGAAAAGGAAAAGGAAAAAAAGAAAAAGAAAAAGAAAAGGAATATTTATAATTTTGAATCTCGTTTGTGGTGTTATGTTTTGTATCCTGTAGTTGAAGACGTAAGTGAGTGTGGTGGAGATTTATATTTTTGAAATATTGTAACGCTGTGAGTTCCAAAATTTTGTGTTTGTTCTGCCTTTTTCTCCAGTTTTTGTTTTACCAAACAGATTCAGGTTCGTTGGTATGTTAGGGCTTGTTTGATAATCCAATTAAATACTTGAAACTGAACATATTTAATGGTCTTAAATAAGTACGTTTAATAATGAAAAATCGCCTACTACTTTAATCTGAAAATATTAATTTTACGCATGACTTATCATCGAATAATGAAAACACTTTATGAGAGGTGTTTGTAATTTTAATTTTAACAGATAACTTTATCTCGCAATTTTCAAGTTTTAAAAATTCAGTATTAATAAATTTGAGTAATTAATTTTCAGTTTTAAAATGGTCCCCCAGTTACTGATTACTTGATGCTATGCTCTGTGATCAATGTTTCAATTTTTTTCAACAACAGTAGTAATTTTCATATCATTTATTAGTGTTTTGCACACCCAATTTTATTTTCCGGTGTACTTAGATTGAAGAAGGCTAAGTTGCTGCAGCTTTTTATGTAGAACATATATAATAATCATCACACAATCAGGATGGATTATAGTGTTTTCAAGCTGCTGAATAAAGTATTACTCCTAGAATAAGCATTTTTAATCTTCTGATGTTGCCAATGACATTTACTTTTGCTTTTTCTCTTGCTCTTGCCCATGAAATTTACTTTTGCTTTTGCTTTTGCTCTTGCCTAATCTTAGGTCCCAACGTGATTCACTAGCTGAAATCAATGCTAATTGCTTTTCTTGTGATGTTTTTTGTCATTTTGGTTTGGCTGTCGGTCAAGTGAGGGAAATTAGAGGATAATTGTTCAAATTAAAGAGAATAAATATATTATGCTTTCCCAAGCGTAACTTTTTAATGTGACTAAACAAGAAAATTTTTGTAATGGATTTTACAGTTGTCGAGATGGGTACCAAATTTGGAGCCAATTTGATTGCACTTCTGGTGTTCTTTCTTTTGTCCCAAACAAGCTTTTCTGCATCCGATAATCGATTGATTAGAGTTGGACTGAAGAAGAGGAAGCTGGACCAAATAAAGAGGCTCGGTGAAGAAGGATTCTCTGGTGCTTCTGAAAGAAACTATCGTCTCCGTGGGAATTTCGAGGACTCTGACACTGATATTATTTCGCTAAAGAACTACATGAATGCCCAGTACTTTGGAGAGATTGGCATTGGCACTCCATCTCAAAAATTCACTGTCATATTTGACACCGGAAGTTCTAATCTTTGGGTGCCCTCTGCAAAGTGTTATTTCTCTGTGAGTCTACTAATTCTTTAAAGTTTCCGAATATGGTTTATTCGCTCCAGGATTTTTCGTTACATTCACAGTTTTGTATATGGATGCAGGTTGCTTGCTATTTACATTCCAAGTATAAGTCAAGCTACTCAAGCACCTATAAGAAAAATGGTCTGGTCTCATTCACTGGTTCCCCTAGACTATCATTGTAGCTGTTGTATTTTGCTTTCATGTTAGTAATCAGAATATTCAAGAGAATTGGGATGTTTACTGACAAAATTAACAATTTTTTCTGAGTATAAAACAAATAAATATATGTAATTACTGATCATACTGATGTCAAATCACTAGATTCAAACAACATTTGCATATGCAGAAAGGAAGCCCTTGACACCACAACGAGCCAACTAAAATAACTATTAATGATTTACATCAATATAATTTACTTACAAGAAATATTTTTACTAACTGCGTTCATGCTTTGTGCCTATGCATTTTGGCTATTGCATTTTTATTACTAATGTGTCTGCCTTGAGGAAAACAAGAGATTTTAATCAGGTTAAGTGTATCAAGGGTGAGGACTCTAAGGCGTTGGTGAATGATGAAGAGATTAAGGAGAGGTGGAAGAACTATTTTGAGAAGTTATATGAGGAATATGGAGGTAGGTCAAAAGGTGAGGAAGTAGGCAGTAATATGGAAAACCAGGACTATAGGTTCTATTGCAGGATTAGGGACTTTGAAGTAGAGTTTGCATTTAAGAAGATGAAATTGAATAAGGCTTTAGGACCCGATGATATACCTAATGAAGCATTGAAATATTTGGATAAGAAGAGGGTTGTTTGGTTGATTATGTTATTTAGCAAGATTTTGTTGACTAGGAAAATGCCAGAGGGGTGGAGGAAGAGTATTTTAGTGTCAATATATAAAAATAAAGGAGATGTTTAGAATTGAAACAACTATAGATGAATTAAGTTAATGTGTCACATAATGAAAGTGTGGGAGAGAGTAATGGAAGGTTGATTGTGAGATATAATAGAGGTGTCAGAAAATCAATTTGGGTTTATGCCTGGCAGGTCAACAATGGAAGCGATCTATCTTTTGAGAAGAATAATAAAAAAGTATAGAGAAAAGAAAAGAGATATTCATATGGTTTTTATCGATTTTGAGAAAGGATATGATAAAGTGTCTCGAGATATAATCAGGTGGGTGTTAGAGAAGAAAAGGGTGACAAAATGTTACATTGATGTGATTAGGGATATGTATGAAGGTGTGATGATCGCCTGCTAGAGAAACGAGTGAATTTTCAATTTCTGTAGGGTTACACCAGGGATCAACCTTGAGTCCTTATCTTTTTGCGTTAGTTATGGATGAGTTGACACGCGATGTTCAAGATGATGTGCCATGGTATATGTTTTCTGCAGATGTAATCATGTTAGTGGATGAGGCTAGAGAAAAAATTAACAATAAGTTGGAGATTTGGAGAAAAGTACTAGAATCTAAAGGATTTAGAATAAGTAGAACTAACAGAGAGTATAGAATTGAAACAACTATAGATGAATTAAGTTAATGTGTCACATAATGAAAGTGTGGGAGAGAGTAATGGAAGGTTGATTGTGAGATATAACAGAGGTGTCAGAAAATCAATTTGGGTTTATGCCTGGCAGGTCAACAATGGAAGCGATCTATCTTTTGAAAAGAATAATAAAAAAGTATAGAGAAAAGAAAAGAGATATTCATATGGTTTTTATCGATTTTGAGAAAGGATATGATAAAGTGTCTCGGGATATAATCAGGTGGGTGTTAGAGAAGAAAAGGGTGACAAAAGGTTACATTGATGTGATTAGGGATATGTATGAAGGTGTGATGATCGCCTACTAGAGAAACGAGTGAATTTTCAATTTCTGTAGGGTTACACCAGGGATCAACCTTGAGTCCTTATCTTTTTGCGTTAGTTATGGATGAGTTGACACGCGATGTTCAAGATGATGTGCCATGGTATATGTTTTCTGCAGATGTAATCATGTTAGTGGATGAGGCTAGAGAAAAAATTAACAATAAGTTGGAGATTTGGAGAAAAGTACTAGAATCTAAAGGATTTAGAATAAGTAGAACTAACAGAGAGTATATGGAGTGTAATTTTAGTAACAATCACAATGGAAGTAGAGGAGAAGTGAAGATTGAGAACCAAGAACTACCTAAGAGTGAATATTTTCGTTATTTAGAAATGATTATCACAACGATTAGGGAGATTGGAGCGGATGTGGTCCACAAAATTAAGGCGGGGTGGCTTAAATGGAAGAGTGCTTCCGATGTACTATGCGATAAACGAGTACCCATTAAACTAAAAGAGAAGTTCTATAGAATGGCTATTAGACCAGTAATGTTGTATGGGACGGAATGTTGGGCAACTAAGAAACAACATGTGGAGAAGACGGGTGTTGTTAAGATGAGGATGCTAAGGTGGATGTGTGCAAGACTAGAAAAGACAAAATTATGAATGAATATATTCGAGAATGGATAGGAATAGTACCGATAGAAGATAAGTTGAGAGAGAATAGATTGAGATGGTTTGGTCATATACAACGAAGACTAACAGAGGCAGTAGTGAAGAGATACAATACAGTGATGCTAGATAGTAATCTTAGGGGAAGGGATAGACCTAGATTGACATGAACTAATGTAGTAAATAGAGATATGAATCTCCTTAATTTGACTAACGAAATGGCCTTGGATAGAGTCGAGTGAAGAAATAGGATTCATGCAGCTGACCCCATTTGATGGGACTTAAGGTTTAATTTGGTTTGGTTTGGTTTGATTTGGTTTATGTGTCTACCTTGAGAAGAGGATACTGATTCATAAGTTTCAATTGCAATTAAAAAAGCATGTCTTTTCAAGCTGCTTGTAAAAGTGCATCGGACTTCACATAGTCATTCGTATATTTAGTGAAAGATAAGCGATGTTGCCCAAGGATCTTCTGTCCTCAAAAATTCATGTCCCCATATTCCAAATCATTCATAACCATTGGATATGTCTTGAGAATTTCACATCTTGGGATTCTTATCTGATCCAATGACTGTGAGTGATTTGGGATAGGGGGACAGAAATTTTTGGGGACAGAGGATCATTGCTAAGTGATGTCATATGCATTGTACTCACGCTGCTCTCCTACATTTATTCTATTCAATAGAGCTTACTTCCCAGTGAAGCTTTGTTACAGCTTTTTTCAGTCCTAAATTGTCCTGCAACTGCCTCACTTTTTGTTTTAAATTTATTTAACTTCTTCAATTTTCTTTTTTCCTTCATTTACATTCATTTTAGGGCGAATTATATTAACGGTCCTTATAATTTGGAACTTGTGTCACTTTAGTTCCTGACTTTTTAATTGTGACACATTTGACCCTGAATTTTGAATCTTATTCCAAATAAAGACAATTGAAGATACTAGTGCTCAATTTCAAGGGTAAAGTCGTTAATTTGATAAAATATAAACTAATTTGACAAAAATAAATGTCAAAAAAATATTTATGAATTTTTAAAAATTATTTCTACCCACCAAAGATAAAATTATGTAAAATTGATAAATTTTTTATACATTTATTTATTTTCTTTACAAAATTAATTTTTATTATGTATTTGGATGATGATCATGTAATGGGTGATTGCTAGGCTTCTAATGTGTAATTGATATATTTAATATATGAAATGTTTTTAGTGTTAAATTTTTTGATTTAATGGATTAGTTTAATAATGATATCAAAGTTGTCGCCATATTTGATTTTTGAAAAAATAGAAACTAATTTAATGAAAATAAAAATAAAAATAATCACTCATTACATGATCATCATTCAAACACATAATAAAAACTAATTTGGTAAATAAAATAAGTAAATGTGTAAAAAATTTATCAATTTTACATAATTTTATCTTTGGTGGGTAGAAATAATTTTTTTAAATTTATAAATATGTTTTTGACATTTACTTTTGTCAAATTAGTTTATATTTTTCAAATTGACAACTTTGTTCTTGAGATTGAATAATGGTATATTCAATGTTCTTATTTGAAACAAGATTCAAAATTTAGGATCAAATGTGTCACAATTGAAAAGTTCAGGACCAAAGTAACATAACCCCTAAACTATAGGCACCTATAGTGTAATTTGCCCTTCATCTTATCATTCAGTAAAAGATCAACAGATTGATTTTTATAGCACACCATCAGATGTGCACACCTTCCAGTGTTATATAAATCTGAAAGTTCAAGTTTACAGTTGTTGCTAACTGAATCCATCCTCTCTAATATTAAGAATTACTGAAGAATGTGTGTTGATTGGTAAGTAATGATTATACCTTCTATTCTCACACTGAAAGACATAGGATTCAATCATATTTAGGGAATTGATTAGTCAGTTCATGAATTTCTCTTCATTTCCCTTGCTTATGTGGAAGTGTTTTGACATCATTCATAACTTCATTCTTGATGCAGGGAAATCTGCTGAAATTCATTATGGAACCGGAGCTATTGCAGGTTTCTTTAGCCAGGACCATGTGAAAATGGGTGATCTTGTTGTAAAGGATCAGGTAAATTTGAAGAGAATGAGTAGATCGTGATATCTTCGGTTCAGTATTTATATAGATTTTTTCTGCTCATTAGGATTTTATTGAGGCAACTAGAGAGCCTGGCATCACATTCTTGGCTGCCAAGTTTGATGGTATACTTGGACTTGGTTTTCAAGAGATATCAGTTGGGAATGCTGTCCCTGTCTGGTAAGTTGATAAATATTTGTTGTTGATATTATGATGATTGCTTGATTGTATAATATTGGAAATTAAGGGAACCTGCTTGATTGGCATGTATGTAACATTGCTTTTGTGGATGGATCTTTCAATTTAAGGATTTGAAGCTACCTTTCTGTTTTTATGTTTGTATAGGTGAGGGCATATAATAATGTTATGATTAAGGTGTCTGTGATTTGTGTAGGTACAATATGGTCGATCAAGGTCTTGTTAATGAACCAGTCTTTTCATTTTGGTTTAATCGCAATTCTGGTGAGAATGAAGGGGGTGAAATTGTTTTTGGTGGGGTTGATTCTAATCATTTCAAGGGTGAGCATACTTATGTTCCCGTGGTTCAGAAAGGCTATTGGCAGGTTGGCTTATGGAAATTTTCTATTATTGTTTGTGATTAAATTTTCATGTTATACTTCAAATTTTGAGGATTTGTTTAATGGTTTTTGTCATTTGCAGTTTGATATGGGTGATGTCCTAATTGATGGAGAAACAACTGGTAATTATAAAGATCTTATGTTTGAGTGCTTATTGCTTAGATATTATTTTTTTTTCTCTTTCTTTATTTTTTTTTTAACTCTTTTTAATTATTGGATCCCCTAGTGCTTGTTATGGTATTGAAAGAGAATTGTATCACTCTTCAGGTTTTTGTGGTGGTGGTTGTTCAGCAATTGCCGATTCTGGAACCTCTTTGTTGGCAGGACCTACAGTACGTATCGTAGACAGCCATATAGAGAGACACTATTTATTCATTAATACATAAATTCTTCTCCCTCTTGAATCGCACTAGATAGCCTGATTATCATCTGAGATGAATAAGGAATATTTTGTAGCATCAATATACTGAACTTAAGTTGGGTTCTCAAATTCCTGCTAATTTTTCAGTATATTTGCTTCTAGATTGTTTTTAAATCATCTTGTTTATGTTTCTCTACAGTCTTATTAAGTCATCTACTCCTTCCAGAACCTAATGTTTCTCTACATTATTATTATTATTACCCTCCAAAGTAGGCCATAAATGTTTCACAAAAATTTTAATGTCGTACTAGTTTCATGGTTTTTCAACAATGAATCAGCTCCTATTTTGAAATACGTGAACTGGAACTTGGTTTTAATTGTTTAACCTTTTGATGCAAACACTCCTAGAGAGACTTTTTTGTTCACAATTGATGCTCTGCAGTCCAACATTTGTTTTCTTTGCCAACGGCATCACCACTGCTGGGAGTTTATCTTTGTTTTCAAATCATAAACACTGCTATTCAATCATGTTGCATAGGAAGTCTGTAGACTAATTGATTGCAAATGCCACTGCGTCATTTTTGTTTCATCCGTTTCATCATGATAGACTTTTACAGGTTTTTCTGTATCATGCATTAAGAAAAAGAAAGAAAAAAAAAAAGCGAGGTTTTGGCATTAAACATGATAAGAAGTAACCAAAAGTTTGTGGCATGTTATTGGCTAATAATATTAGAGAGATAGCCAAAAGTTCTTGTATTTATTTTATTTTACTGTAGACTTAGATTTACTGTTATTATGTACTCTTGACCTAAGATTTGGGTGATAACCAAATCCGACACTTGGAACACATTCCTTAACATGATTGAGCGTTGAAGGATGAGCATACTCTACTGACTCAGAAACATCAGGCATTTCAAACTATCATCTTTAGATTGTTTTGCATGTTTTCCCATCATCACATTCTGTGCTAGCCTTATCTCTTTTTTATTGTGTTCCCATGTGCTTACAGAGATGGGGACTAGCATAGTTATGTACTGGTAGTAACCATGTCTATAGGTTCTGTTTGTTTCATTTTGTTGTTATGTCCACACTTTTGATTGGCTTGCTCTTTAAAGAGAAATCACAAAACAAAAACAAAAAAAAAAGGCCCAATTAGTACACATTAATGTGTGTTTGGGAGGGGAAAGATTGAGCACACACCTAACCTTTGACATAATGCACAAAGTGGTGGTCCTAAGACTTGAACTCATAACCTCAAGGTTATTAAGGCAAGTCTTAACTATTGAACCAATGGTCACCCCTTTTAAAGAGAAATCATGGTTTTGGATATTCTACTTACATTTGGTCATTCTGAGGCTTAGAATCTGACATCATGCTCTTTACAAACATCAGTTGCTTTTCCTTGTGCACCTTCACATTACCGCTAATCTGCTTATATTTCCTCTATAATATGACTCTTCTTCAGACAATAATTACTCAAATTAATCATGCCATTGGAGCCTCTGGGATTGTAAGCCAGGAATGCAAAGCAGTGGTTGCTCAATATGGGAAAATGATACTGGAAATGCTTTTAGCACAGGTATGCATTGTTTTGGAAGAATAGGTGTTCTATAGCTTGTCATTATCTATTGATCTTTCCATCTTGCAACAATAGATGTGACAGAGATTCTTATTTGTCTGCCTGTATAAGTTTTTGGGTACATCTATCTTCAAGTTCATCACCTTGTAACTTATTTCTGCTTTTCTCTGGTGGTCTCTCACAGGCCGAGCCCCAAAAAATCTGCTCTCAAATTGGCTTGTGCTATTCTGATGGTAGTCAGGATGTTAGGTCAGATTAAACTTGTCTCTTGTTGTTGTGATAACAATTAGTGTCATTGTCATTTTCACTGAATAAATTTATTGGTCATCTTGTCATCGTCATCACAGTATTGGCATTGAGAGTGTGGTGGACAAGAACAGACACGAGTCATCTGGTGTTCATGGTGAGGCTTCGTGTACTGCTTGCCAAATGATGGTTATATGGATGCAAAATCAACTTAAGGGAAATCAGACACAAGATAGAATCTTGAACTACATCAATGAGGTGAATTAGCATTTATTTTTATGTTTCTGGTAAAAGATTGTCTCACTTTTGGGCTTATACTGTTATTCCATTTCAGCTCTGTGATCGACTGCCTAGTCCAATGGGAGAATCAGCAGTTGACTGTAGTAGTCTGTCTTCCATGCCCATTGTTTCCTTTACTATTGGTGGTAAAGTTTTCGATCTCACCCCAGAGCAGGTAAATAGCGTAGTTAGTCTGATGTTGGCAAGTTATTATATTATCATATTTGATCATGCATTATCATTAGAAGCATCCTATATTATATAGCCTTAACCAATGACATCTCTAACACCTCTGAAGTACTCTCCGATTTATTTTAGTTATACTGCCTATTCAATTCATAAAATCCACTTAGAAAGGGAAGATGCCATGAGTGATAGATAGCAAATTTGGCCTAGGGCCTTGATCATCAAAATTGAAGATTAGGTGATCTTAATCATGATTAGGTTTTGTTTGAACAGAATAAGAAAAAAAACTCAAGATTTTCTGCTACAATTTTCCAACATGACATCTCCTTAATTAGATCTACTTGAGTACTGAAAAATGACTTGGTTGATCAGTGTATCAATTTACCATACAACTGCTCATCATAACAATTTGTATTCAACAGAAATCAAATATGAACTGGTAATAATTAACTAAAATCAAACTCCAATATTGGCCATCTCATCTTCCATACAACATTTGAAAATTTCGGGCCGAGGAACATGGGTTTTACTTGCTAGGTAAGGAAACTAAAACTATGTACTTATCCATCTAAACTAAACTCAAGATGTGTTTATATTGATAATTGGGCAAAATCTACTTTACTCTCCTGTGCTATAGCCTAATAGCACTGTACCTCCCTGTATTTTCTAAATAGCCACATACCTCCCACATGACTTTGGACTAAAACGCAACATTAATTGAAAAATGATCTCAATACCGCTTAACTATTTTTTTTTCTCCTCTTCTTCTATTCCATTTACATCTAATTTCTAACTCCAAAATATCCCTGAACTTGACATAATTTATGAACAACTTGCAAGATTATCATAGAAGCCCGGACTATCACATTTTCAATTTTCATTATTACTATTGTGACTTCTTGTTATTAATATGGTTGTTATTTTTTTTAGTTACTATTAGTATTTGTTTACTGTTTATGGGTTATTTTAATTATGTTTTTTCTTGTTATTTTCATCATTACTACTATTCTAAATCGATGATCTAAGCACAATGTGTTTCACTCTTTCAATAATAATTGTTGTTTTTTGTTGTTGTCATTAGAATACTTATTTGTAGTAACCATTTTGATTTCACAGACGGTTAATCACACATGGTTCAATTGCACTTGTTTCTTGCCCATTAAGTGCTCTCTAATCAACGAGTTAATTCCTTTTCTTTTTGTTCTTTGTTGTGGTGATGCTCTCAGTACGTCCTCCAAGTTGGTGACGGACCTGAAACACAATGTATTAGTGGATTTACAGCTCTAGATGTGACCCCACCTCGCGGACCTCTCTGGTAAATTTCCACTTTTTTCTGCTTCTAGTAATGCCTAATCTTTCATCTCCACTTGTTCATGCTAAATGGACATGTAGTTACTATGCATCACTAAAGCCAAAACTTTCATGAACATGCATTATCTTAAGCTATGGATTTACCAATGTTTCTACTTGGTAGCTACAGAGACAGTGATAGGTTGCTGATATCGTCGTAGTGTACTAAGATTCAAAATCGTCCAAATTAGTCTATTGATTGTGGATTGTGTTTGGGATTACAAGTAATTGCCGGTATTGCTGTTGATAATTTGATGCAGGATTCTGGGAGATGTTTTCATGGGTCAGTATCACACGGTGTTTGACTACGGGAATATGACAGTTGGATTTGCTGAAGCAGCTTGAATGATTAATCCTTGTTTAACCTCTGTTTGCCTCTACGGTAATCTCTACCAGTAGTGAAAAAAACACTTTACACTCACGTGATTTACTTGACTTGACTTCTGTTTGTTGTATCTGTCAATATTTCGATCTATGGAGCTTTGTTATATACGTGGAAAATACAATGATAATTCCGTGAAAGTATGTTGGTGTTAATATTGTGGTTTCATAAAGGAAGCTTCAACTATGCAATCATATTTCTAGACATGTATGCTATGGATCTTTGTATTTATTGTGTTAAATTGTGCTTCTTATGTGTTATGTGACTACAAATCGTATTGAATTGTTTTTAATTACTTAGTTTTGTTGAGCTCTTGAATTTTGTTTATGTTAGGGGTTTGACGGTCCGTCCAATTTTGTTGAAATGCATCTAAATTTTTTAAAACTTGGGGTCAAAATTAGGGGAAACGAATTATGGTCAATTAGGAAGAAAATTTATAAGATTTTCCCACACTAGATAAACTTTATAGATCCACCCCTACTCATCCTTCAAATATTCTAAATTCGTCCCAACTGTCCATGGTAACCCTTCACCTAAGGGTTCTAAAGGGCTAGAATAGGAGTATAGTTGGCCACATTATAGGACCAAAAACAAGTTTTGTTTATAATTTAAAAGTAATGTTATATAAATTAATAAACTTATTAGTTACTGGTGTGATGTTTATTATATTATTACATTGAAATTGTATTGTTGTTTGCTACATCAATAAATAAGAAGTTTATAAAATTTATTAATTTTGATAACAGTTTTCATAATGTAATTTTAATGAGGTAATTTGTAACAGAGGAGGATTCCTCCGGGGGACTATTTGGGCCTGTGAGGTTCACCATGGATTCCGTTTCAATGATCCGAACCTTCATTTCGTCGGGCACTTCATGTATTTCATCTATAAAAAAATTTAGATCAATCCGATAATTATAACTTATTCAATTTATTATTTTTTTCATCAAAAAAATATATGATTTATTTTTTAAAAATACAATTATCGTCTATTTTTTTAATGAAAAATACGGTAAATTGAACAAGTTACACTTATCAGCTCGACTTAATTTTTTTTTCTGAATGAAGTATACGAAATGCTCAACAAAATGAAAGATTTCAATTATCAAAACAAAACATGTGGTGAACCCAAACAATCCCCTCCCTCCAGTCCAAATCCGAGAAAGGTCCAGTGAATCTATTCCTTGACGTAAGCTAAGCCCCCAAGGAGTGTGCTTTTCGGCGATCCCTTCTTCAACCATCCATTCAATTTGGTGCCAAAGGTTCTAGATAACACTCCCATTCAAGATATTGATGGGCCATCCTCTTAACTACAATGGAGTTATTTGGTAGTTTTGGCGCATGGTTATCTGGTGTCTTAGAATATTAACTAGTTTTGTGTTGATGTTTAGTAACTAGTGAGAGAACTTGTCAAATGAAACTGCTAGACCGCCAAATAATTTTTTCTTGCTACATTTTGGGCGACTAAAATGGATTTTCGTCGGCAAAACCCCCACTTTCAGCGACTAAATTGTTTTTAGTCGCCAAAACTGCTATAATCGGCGACTAAACCTGTTTTTTGTCTCCAAAACCGTAACTTTTTGCTACTAAAGTATTTTAGTCGCCAAAAACTGTGACTTTTGGCTACGAAACAAAGTTTAGTCGCTAAAAACCCCATATTCGGCGACTAAACTTCATTTTAGTCGCTAAAACCCTGCTTTTCGGCGACTATACTCTTTTAGTCGCTAAAACCTTGCTTTTCGGCGACTAATTCCATTTTAGTCGCCATTAGTAACTAGTGAGAGAACTTGTCAAATGAAACTGCTAGACCGCCAAATAATTTTTTCTTGCTACATTTCGAGATAGCTATTCTATGTCAATTACTGAATTTTTTTTATTTTTTTATTTTTAGTACGAGATTTAATACATTATATATTCTATAATAAGTTATCTAATAAAACATATAAGAACATGAGACAAATACCAAAAAGAAGAAAAATAACCTCTACGCAAATATAAAATAAAATAAAATAAAATCTTTTGCAAAAGAGAAAACTTCGAAAGACATTATCGCAGAATGAGGGCTTTATTTTATTATTATTATTATTATTATTATTATTCATCACTCAAAAATTTTCATAACGCTATATTTGGCTGGAGGATTGGAAAGAGATTTGAAAAAGAAAAAGAAAAATATGTATAAAACTATATGAAATACACGTATATGTTATTTGGAAAATGAGTTGGACCCCCTCAAGAAGGCATCCCCTTTGACCCCTTCTCTCTCTGATTGGCCAGTTTTTCTTTTTTCTTTTTCTTTTTTTCCTTCTCATCCAATCACCACCCGCCACATGTGTGTGGGGTGGTGGGAGTGGTGATTGGAGAAGGTCTCAATCACTTCTCATTTTATTTATATTTCACTTATCTTTTTCTTTTTTCTTTCCAAATTCTTTTTTTTTAAATCTCCCAATCAAATACAATGTAACAGAACATCAAAGTAACAAGAAATAACGACTATCATTTTTTTATTTGTATTTATTTCTGTAACACCTCATAACAAATTAAAGAAAAAACAAAGAAAAAAAAAAGTGTAAAACCTCTCGTTTTCGTCAGTGAAAAGGACAGACACGCTAAGTTCTCATTTTAACTCATCCTAAACTATGACAAAAAAACTTGAGTATCATGTCATTACTATCGTCATCTAATTATTTTTTGTCTCTTACCTTTCATGTATATGTAGCATCTGAAAATTAAAATTTACTTTCCACATTATGTGATTTTATTGTGTGTTGATGATATCATATAAACATGTTTGGTTATTCTCTAAAAAATTAATTTTTGCCTAAACCAGTCAAACTCAAGTTTTGTGTTTCATTTGGCTAAAATGATAGTATCTGATAAAAAATAATTCTTTCGGTGATTCTACTTGGACATGATAAATTTTGTATTACATTTATTTGTACAAGACTTTTTTCCATAATGTACAAATATTACAACGCATATTGTGATTGTAATGAAAAATTTATTGTGTAAATAGAAACTTTTGTTTTTTCAAGAAATCTCACTAGAATAACGCAAAAATTATTTTATCCTCGGCAAGGACTCTCACATTTGTTAAGGTATCAATCTTTAGTAAGGATAATATTATAATTTCTCTCCAAAAAATAAAAGTTTAAAAAGACTATTAAACTTTCTTCATAACAAAAAGTAATTTTTTTTAATAATTGTTAAACGCATTAATATTGTTTTAAAAAAGCAAAACAACAAGCAACTAAAAAAAAATTGCCAAACCTTTTAACATTGATATCTGGCAGGCTTTACCTCCCCTTAGAGTATCTCCAATGGTTCACTATTTTTTTCATCAAATCTGAGTAAAAAAAAAAAAACGATTTCCTCAATTTGATATCAGATACTCCAACGATACTTTCATCAAAACACTAGATGTCCAGGTGGACGACCAGCAAGAGCATTTCATGAAGAAAAAAAAATTCTCCCTCCATTTCGGTGTTTTCAAGGTTTTCTTCTGTTTCTTCCAAAGAGAAATTGGAAAAGAGTACAGACCCCACAGAAGCCACCATTTCGATGATCCTAGTTCTTGAATCTTTCCCCAGAGAGAGCTTGTGGTGTTGGAGGAAGAGTTTGAACTCATTCGCAATGTTGGGTCTTGTTCTAAGAAGAATTGATCTCTCTGAGGATTGGAGACACTTGCTCTGAGATGAGAAAGATATTCTTGTGAGCATAGTGAAGTATTGTCTGGTTCTTTGGGGGTGATGTAGAGACGTAGAGAGCAAAAAGATTGGTGGTAAGTATAGAGAAAAGCATGAGGACATTCATTGCCGAAGAACTGAGTGTAACCCTTTTGAATCTGGTTGTTTCCTTTTCAATTTTGTGCAATTAACAGGATGACTGGGTGGACAACCAGCCGATCGTAGCCAGTCATCCGGTGGGTCCCAGTCCAACGTCTATACACAGTAAATTGATGAACGCTTCCTAGATTCTCAGTTTGGTGAAACATCTGATGTTTTATCAATTTGATACCATTTTGATAAAAACCATTGGAGCACCAAAAGTATCTATTTTTTACCAAATTTGAATTTGGTGATACATCTGCTGAACTATTGGATTTGGAGATGGTCATAGCTGCTCCATGCTCTTTTTTGATCTTGTTTGGTACAATAGAAATATTTATTTTTTTTAATTTATTTTAAAAGTTGGTGTTAATATGTTTGATGTCGGTTTTATTTAATAATTTAAATAAATAAAAACAATGATTATCAAAAAGTATAAGGAGGGATATTTTTAACTACTTTTTAATTATTAACTTTCAACTTAAAAAAAAAAATTATACGAAAGTCTCGTTTGACAAGTGGTAATTTTAGCTAAAAAGTTAAAAAGTTACTAAAAAAATCAAAAAACCAACAATTTATACCAAAAAAATCAAAAATTCCCTTTTATCTCTACTTTTTACACACCTTTTCGTAAAAAATAAAAAAGTCATCCAAACATACTAATTTTTTTATATCATATTTTAGTTAAAAAATCAAAAAGTTACCAAAAAAACATATTTCAAACGAGGCCTAAATCTATAAAAGCTTAGTTGGTATATTTAAAAGCATTTTAATTAACTAAGTTAATTCAGTTGACTACTCTTGTACACTTTTATTCATATGGTTACGGGGTCAATTATCGCCAAACATAAAAAATTAATTATTTTTTTCTCATTATAAGGGGTTGTTGAGTTCTTTGTGATGATTATTAAGTTTGTAAATTGTTTACTTTTAATTGTTTGATTTAATATAATAATTGTTATATTTGTAATTAATCTTTTATGGTTTGACAAATATATATATAATGTATAAGCATTTTAGATTTTGTAATAAAAGAGCAAAATTGCTTTCAATTACAATTTCAAAGTGCAAAGAAATTTGGAGTAGGTAATTAAAAACATTCTAGATTTTGTAATAAAATATCAAAATTGCATCCAATTACAAATTAATTTCACAGTGAAGACCACGAATTTATGAATTTATAAAGTAGTCAAGACATTGATTCAACAACCACGCACATGTAAAACGTGCTTGCGTTTAGTTAGAGACTTATACAACACGTGTCACTTGACCAATGGTCGAGTTCCAGGCCCCACCTTTTTCTTCCGATAAAGACCAAAAAACAACAAAAAAAACTTTTGATTCTTTTAAAAAAAAAAATGGAAGAAAGGACACGTGAGTTGCGTGTGAGGAAAGCGTAGTAATCCTCATGATTAGCAATC